AGCCTTGAGCTGAAGAGCTGAGGGACAGCGCCCAGGCCCAGAGTTCAGGCCCCATGACAGGACCAAAAAAAAAAAAAAAGGAAAGAAGCTGAGATCTGAGAATGGAGGTTCCAAGCCAACCAGAGCAGAAAAGGCCTGTAAGACTCTTATCTCCAGTTAGCCAATTAGCTGTAGTAGAGCACTAACCTTGAGCAAGAAAGAACTCAGGGACAGTGCTCAGGCCCCAAATTCAGCCTCATGACTGGCCAAAACAAAACAACAACAACAACAAAGACAGAAACATTATATGCAAAATAAGTAACAAAATATCAAACTATCAGGTGGGCCAAATGGCCTGCCCAAAACAAGAGCACTCCTGTTCTAGGGCTTCAGTTCACCCTGACCTCTGAAGTTTCCAGCTGACATTGTCCCTTCTCAGTGACACTTTCTTTCTTGAGATGTTAGTGGCTTCATTGTTTCGTTTTGTTTTTTTCCAGTCTGGGTTTGAACTCAGCCTCACACTTGCTGGCCAGAGTGCTAAAGTCATCCTGACTTTCAAAGGTGACATTTGGAATTGCTACTTGGTCGTAGAGAATATCTTCTGCTTATTTCCTGCTAGGCATTGTGGGACAACATGCATTCATCCTCACATGCAGCCCTCCAGGCAAAACTGTGGAAAGGTTAAGACTTAGCCAGGATCACTTAGAAGGCAGAGCTATTTCCCTTTAGAGTAGTGGAGCTATTTCCAGGACTGCAGTCGGCCTCCTCCTATGTGTGTACGGTATGTGTGCATGGGGTGGGGGGAGAGGGTGGGGTGGTAACAAGGAAGGGAATTAATGCTTATAATGTGTATGCTGGTTTAGCCTAGCCCCCTGATGATGAGTGCACAGTCTCCCCGGGCCCAGTGAGTGTTGGTCAATTAGGCATACACCCAGGGTTTTGGACAAGGCTGGATCAATCTTCTGTCTGCCCTTAGGGCAGTGATGAGTTGAAACCAACTAATTTAGCATGCACATCACTTCCCAGGTATCCATTTCTGGTTTGAGACCTGGGACTTGGCCCTTTTCCTTTTTTTCTTTACCTCTCTCCTCTCCTTTTCCCCTTCTTCCCTCTCTCTCTCCCTCCTCTTTCCTCTCCTTTCTCTCCTCTTCATTCTCATCTCTCTCTTTCGTACTCTTTTTCTCTCTCCCTCCCCCCATCTCTCCAGTGCCTCCTTATATGAACCAAGCTAGCCTCAAGTTCATGGTCCTCCTACTGAGATTACAGGTGTGTGCTACTATGCCCAGCTAAATTCTTTTCCTTGAATAGATTACCTCTTTCTCAGTCTTGTAACTGGAGCTCATTTCTAGGTTTTTCTTCCCCTCTTTCAGGTTCTGCCTTGGTATGATCCCTGGCATAGGATAGCAGTTGTTTGTGTATTGAATGAGACTCTCCTGCCAACATCCATTATGCAATTTTTTTGTTTTTGTTTTTTCAGTGCTGGGGATAAAACCAGAGCCTCGTACATACTAAGCAATCTCTACCATTGAACCGCATCCCATACCATTGAACTATATACCAAACATGTAATGTGTTTTGGGTTTTTTTGTGTGTGTGCCAATCCTAGAGCTTGAACTCAGTGCCTGAGTGTTATCCTCGAGGTCTTTTTGCTCAAGGCTAGCATTCTACCACTTGAGCCACAGTTTCACTTGTAGCATTTTTGCTGGGTAATTGGAGATGACATTCTCGTGGACTTCTCTGCCTTGGCTGGCTTTGAACTGCAATCCTCAGATGTCAGCCTCCTGAGTAGCTAAGATTATAGGCATGAGCAACCAACCCATGCCTGGCTTTTTTTTTTTCTTCAAGATTTCTCTGTTTTCTATCTGGCCTTGATTTCATAGCCAAGTAGTTTGTGGGCTCAGGAAAGGGCAGTGGAAAGAAGTGGAAGGAAATGTATTTCACATATTTTATCTCATTTATTCCTCATGACAATACTATAAGGTAGGTAGGTATTATTCTTATTTTGCATGTGATTAGGTAAACTGAGGCTCAAAGAAATTAATATACTCTAGGTCAAGCAGTTACAAAGTAGCAATGTGGTGATTTGTACCAGAACAAGTCTACCTTCAACTTTCCATGCTCCATGCTCTGATCTCTCCCAGGTAGCAGAAAAACTGGAAATGCTAAAGAAACAGTATGATGAGAAGCTGGCCCAGAAAGAGGAGCTTCGTAAGAAGTCTGAAGAGATGGAGCTGAAACTGGAGCGAGCTGGTATGCTGGTGTCTGGGCTGGCTGGTGAGAAGGCCCGATGGGAGGAGACCGTGCAGGTGAGCTGGGTTTGGAGCTGGGGTTTCCCTTTTGTTTAGCACACCTGGTCCAAGATGTCCATCATCTTTCCATTGAGAAGTGATTAGGGAAAACAGGGACACCTTGCTATAGGAAATCCAAGATGGCAGATGGATGTCCTTCCCTCCTTCTCCTCACATTGGGTGAGAATAAGGAAGGAAAGACATTTTGTCCTTTGAAAGGTGGGAGAATTGGCTCCAGGCAGGGAGGGGGGAAGAGGGGGAGGGGCAGGGAATCTGGAAAGTATGCCAGGACTCTAGATACCGCCTATCTGCCTGATAGATGACAGACACACACCATTTGTCTCAATCTTACTGAGTTCCACGATAGAGCAAAGCCTTATCATCACGGTGTAAACATTGCTGTCAGGGATGGAAAACACTAACATAATTAGAACCAGGTCGAAATGCTCAGAGCACAAGGGTTTACGAGAAAGAATCTCTTTGATTTAGACCAGTATCCAGAGGAGAGTATCTTCAAAAGTATTCCAAATGCTCCCCAAAGGGTGAGAGCCCTGGCAGTTTATCTCCTTTCTGTCGGCAGGGCCTGGAGGAGGATCTGGGCTACCTGGTAGGTGACTGTCTCCTGGCAGCAGCCTTCCTGTCCTACATGGGACCCTTCCTTACCAACTACCGAGATGAGATTGTCAACCAAATCTGGATCAGAAAGGTGAGCAGGAGCCTTCCTCTAGTAAGTGGGCTCCAGGGGCAGAACTTTGGAGCATTAAAAGATACTGGACAAGGGCTGGGAAGGTGGTTTATGGTAGACTGCTTGCCTAGCATGCATGAAGCCCTGGGTTCAATTCCTCAGTACCACATAAACAAAAAAAGCCAGAAGTGGCACTGTGGTTCAGTGGTAGAGTGCTAGTGTTGAGCAAAAGAAGCTCAGGGACAATGCCCAGGTGCTGAGTTCAAGCCCCAGGATTGGCTGGGGGTGGGGAGAGAAGAAGATACTGGAGGAGGCTGAGATATAAAAGAGACTGAATATTAAAAGATACTCAGGAGGCTGAGATCTGAGGATCATACTCTGAAGACAGCCAGAGCAAAAAAAAAAGTCTCTGTGAGACTCTTATCTCCAATTAACCACTCAAAAGCCAGAAATAGAGCTGTGGCTCAAAGTGGTAGAGGGCTAGCCATGAGCAAAAACGCTCAAGGGCAATGCCCAAGTCCTGAGTTCAATCCCCATGACTGACAAAAAAAAAATAGATACTGGGAAACCAAGTGCCAGTGGCTCATGCTTATAATTTTAACAACCCAGGAGGCTGAGATCTGAGAATCATGGTTCAAAGCTAGCCGGGGTAGACAAATCCACAAGATTCTTTTCTTCAAATTACTATCAAAAAGCCAGAGCACTAGCCTTGAGCAAAAAAAAAAAAGAAAGTGAGTACTCAAGGACCTGAGTTCAAACTCCAGTACACACACACACACAGAGTTACTGTTACTGGAAGGGGGTAGGGGCTGCTAGACTCCTCACACTAATGTCTGGGTTTTTCCTTAGATCTGGGAGCTTCAAGTTCCTTGCTCACCCCGCTTTGCTATTGATAACTTTCTGACCAATCCTACCAAAGTTCGAGACTGGAACATCCAGGGCTTGCCCTCAGATGCTTTCTCCACTGAAAATGGCGTCATTGTGACCCGGGGCAACAGGTGAGGAGGCTGCAGGTAGTGAGAAGCAGAGGGAGAAGTGGAATGTATCTCCTCTGACTGACGCCTCCTCCTCCAGGTGGGCTCTCATGATTGATCCTCAGGCCCAGGCCCTCAAATGGATTAAGAACATGGAAGGAGGCCAGGTAGAGGCTGGCCAACTGGTGGGCTCACCCCCAATAGAATCTCCTGTGAAGTTAATCTCTTCCGGAGAAGAGACAATACCCTTGATCATGGCAGCCCTGGGGTGTTTGTCAGGGTGTCTCCCATCTTTCCCCTTGCTGTCTAGGGCCTGCTGATCATTGACTTGCAGATGATAGATTACCTTCGAGTCCTAGAAAAGGCCATCCAGTTCGGGTATCCAGTGCTTCTCCAGAATGTGCAAGAATATCTGGACCCCACACTAAACCCCGTGCTCAACAAATCTGTGTCTCGAATAGGTCAGGGCCTGGGCTTATTGTGGAGCTGGATTGAGTGGGACAGGGGTGGAGAGGGTGGCCCTTTGGCGGTGTCCTGTCCCTGCCTGTCCCTTCATGCAGTTAAGCCTTGGCTAGGCCTTTAAGGGAGGCTGGACGGACGCCCCAATGCCCCTGGGAAATGGGTCATAAGGAACCCATTGGGGCCATAATTGCATTTAATTAAGTTTTGTGGATGCAGGTGGTCGGCTGCTCATGCGCATTGGGGACAAGGAAGTGGAATACAACCCCAATTTCCGTTTCTATATCACCACCAAGCTCTCCAATCCACACTACAGCCCAGAGACCTCAGCCAAGACCACCATTGTCAACTTTGCTGTTAAAGAGCAGGTGGATAAAGGGTTGATGCCCTGAGCTAAGGTGAAGCAGGAAGGGCTAGAATTGGGGGGGGGGGAGCCTCAGGAAAAAAAAAAGCCTATGCTTAAGTCAGTGACCAGTGGCTCATGTGTATAATCCCAGCTGCTCAGGAGACTGAGATCTGAGGATCATGGTTCAAAGCCCACCTAGGCAAGTATAGATTGTCATCTCCAATTAACCAGCAAAAAAGCTGGAAGTGGAGCTGTGACTCAAGTGGTAGAGTGCTAGTCTTGAGCAAAAAAAGCTCAGAGACAGCACCCAGGGACCAGCACCAAAAAAAAAAAAAAAAGACTAAGCTTGAGTTACGGCAACTGTGTCAGGATGTCTAGAGAGTTGGCTGGGTTGGTAGTTGTAGGAATGAGAGTCTCACCCTGAATCTTGATACAGGGCCTAGAGGCCCAACTGCTGGGCATTGTGGTTCGAAAGGAAAGACCTGAGCTGGAGGAGCAGAAGGATTCACTGGTTATCAATATTGCTGCTGGGAAAAGGAAGCTCAAGGAACTCGAGGATGAGATTCTCCGGTGAGCTTGGGAGACCTCCACTCATCTTCTATTGCTCTTCTCCCACGTAGCACCCAGCACCCTGCAAGCACAGCTTTGAGTCCTCTACTCCAAGCCCTCCCCCCTCTTTTTTTTTTTTTGTTAGTTGCAGGGCTTGAACTCAGGGCCTGGGTGCTATCCTTGAGCCTCTTTGTGCTCAAGGCTCTACCACTTAAGCCACAACACCACTTCCAGTTTTCTGGTGGTTTATTGGAGATAAAGAGTCTCATGGGAACTTTTCTGCCAAGGCTGGCTTCAAACCATGATCCTTAGATCTCAGCCTCCTGAGTAGCTAGGATTACAGGTGTGAGCCACCGCCACCTGGCTACACCCAACCCATTAATCCATGCCCCCTTGGCTTCCCCCTAGCTTGCTGAATGAGGCCACAGGCTCTCTCCTAGACGATGTGCAGCTGGTGAACACGCTGCAGACATCCAAGATCACTGCCAGTGAGGTGACAGAGCAACTGGAGACCAGCGAGACCACAGAGATCAACATTGACATGGCCCGAGAAGTGAGCCGCACCCTCCAGCCCTGCCCCTGGCTGGCCTCAAGAAGCAACTCTTGAGTGTACTGGTTTGGGATCCCCTTCCTGCCCTGGTCCCCTGCTCCTCCGTGGTCCTCACACAGAGCCACACACATGTCCCCACAGGCTTACCGCCCATGCGCCCAGAGGGCCTCAGTGCTGTTCTTTGTGCTCAATGACATGGGCCGCATCGACCCCATGTATCAGTTCTCATTGGATGCCTACATCAGCCTCTTCATCCTCAGTATAGACAAGAGCCATCGCAGCACCAAGCTGAAGGACCGCATTGACTATCTGAATGACTACCACACCTATGCGGTATACAGGTCTGATGGTCCATCCCAGGGGCTCCTGGTTCTTATCTCCTAGCTACTTTTGGGCACCACATGCTCGCAGCCATCTTCCTGCCCCACTGCCCTCCTCCATTCCTTACACCTACCAGGAAGCTCACCCACGATTAAACTGTAACCATCAGCTGTCAGCGAGAGTATTCTTACTTCCCTGTCTTTAGCTAGCTCTGAGTGTTTGCACATTGGACATGCACCTCTGTCTCCATTTCTATTTGTTCTAATGCTAACACCCACATATAGTATTGGGATTCTGGTTAAAATATAGATCAAAAGCCAGGTGCTGGTGGCTCATAGCTGTAATCCTAGCTACTCAGGAGGCTGAGATCTGAGGATTGCAGTTCAAAGCCACCCTGAGCAGGAAAGTCTATGAGACTCTTATCTCCAGTTAACCACCCCTCCCAAAAAGAGCCAATAAAAGCCCAAAGAAATAAACAACAGAAAACCCCACTCCTTCCTTCCCTCCCCCTCTTCCCCAGCCACTGACGACCACATCAGCCCCTAACAGGTCACTGTTTGCCTCTCCACCTGTCCTCCCACAGCTGCCAATCAACATCAGCCTTGAAACAACTGACCCTGTCACTCCCACGTTAAACTCTTCAGTGTTGCCTTGTTTCTGATGGCCTCTGAGGCCCGGGCTTTGTGACCTGCCTCCACCCACTCATCCTCCTGCCTCCCCAGCTCCCAGCAGCGGCCTGCACAGCCCGGGCAGCCCCACACCTTCCCATTCCTTGGCTTTTGCTGTGAGCACTCCCTGGCCACACTCACTTCTTTGCCTCTCCCATGCCACTAGATCAACCTGCTATATCTCAGAAACTTCCCCTGAACCCACGAGGCAAGGCTGGGTGCCCTGCCACCCCTGAATAGGACTCACAGCTTATCCTTCTCATTTGTCTCTGGGCCTCTGTCCGGCCTCCTGTTCTCTCATGCCTTCCTCAAAGACAGATACAATTACTCATCTCAGTGTCTTTAGGAAATTGAGTGCTTGGCTGGACCGCGTGCGTGCGTGCGTGCGTGCGTGCGTGTGCGTGCGTGTGCATGCGTGCGTGTGCGTGCGTGCATGCGTGTGTCCGTGTTGGCAGTAGGGACTGAACTCAAAGACTAGCACTCTTGCTTAGCTTTTTCACTCAAGGCTGGCTCTCTTTTTTTTTAAAACAACCATTTGGGATTTATTTGATTACTTTTATTTGTTTTTATTATTATTCTAAAGGTGATGTACAGAGGGGCTACAGTTACATGTCAGATGAGTACATTTATTTTAGGACTATGTCACCCCTTCTCTTGCTCTCCCAGTTTTTCCCTCCCATCCCTACCCACAAGTTGTGTAGTTCATTGTCCACAGAGTGTCTAGTATCTGCTGCGTTTGTTCACCTTCTGTCCCTCCATTTCTGTGCCCCCTTACCCTCCCAAAGACAAATAAATGAACAAGCAAGACCAAAAGAAAACAACAAAGGAAAAGCCTCTTATTTCCACTTCCTGGAGTTCATTTTGATAAATACATTTTTATATGATCGAATGCACACACAGGCATTGCACCTTTGTGTTCCTCCACTAACAGCATCCTCCTTGGGTCTCACTGCATGTGAATGCCTAGATACTTTCAGCTTTTTTGCTAATTAGTTGGAGATATGAGTATCATGGATTTTCCTGCCTGGGCTGGCTTTGAACTGTGATCCTCACATCTCAGCCTCCTGAGTAGCTAAGATTACAGATGTGAGCCACCAGTGCCCTGCCCATGTTTCGCTTCTTAAGAGAATGGAATGAATGCTAATTAGGAGTGAACCAGGAAACTCACAAGGCCTGGGCCCTTGGCTGTTTTCTGGAGGGTTGGGTTAGGTGCTAAGGTCCTTTGGTGTAAGACTGAGATTGTAGGGTGGTCTGAGCCCTCATGCTGGGCATTCTTCCCCCCACCTCCCACCAGGTACACCTGCCGTACGCTCTTTGAGCGCCACAAGCTGCTATTCAGCTTTCACATGTGTGCCAAAATCCTGGAGACTTCTGGCAAGCTCAACATGGATGAGTACAACTTCTTTCTTCGTGGGGGCGTGGTGAGTTGGACAGAGGACAGGTCCCAGCACGGGTGGTGGAGATTGAGGGTGAGGTGCAGTGTGAGCAGAACTCCAAGCTCAGAATGTCAAGCTGAGACTTCAGCGAGTGACAAGCCAGGAGCAGGTGTACAGGTTCACTGCGGCTGGGATTGGGGGTGACTTGCCATGCTCCCCACACACTTACGTGTGACCCACTGATGGGCAGTGACCTTGCTACTGCTGTGCCTACCTGAATGCCACAGTCACCACCACAGCCTCTCCCCAGCACGCACCTCTATTCTTTCCTCCCTCCCTTGGATTTATTGGGCAAAACCACCACTCCACTGAACCCAGCTTTTCTTCCCTTCTGACCCTGGGTTGCCTATGCAGCTGAACAGGAGTAGAGACAAACACATCCCGGTTGACTGGACTCTCTTTAAATGGAGGGCCTAAGGGTAGGAGCCTCAAGTGGGCTCTTAAAGCTGCTGAACAGCTATGGTACAGTTTCTTTCCTCCTGAGTACTTCCTCTTCTCCCTTCATCATCTATCTAGATTTGTCTATGTTTGTGTGTGTGTGTGTACATGTGTATGTGCATGTGTAAGCGCAAGCCTGGGCACTGTCCCTGACTTTTGTTTTATTTTTCCTCCCCAAGCTAGTACTCTACAACTAAGCAACAGCTCTGTGTGTGTGTGTGTGTGTGTGTGTGTGTGTGTGTGTGTGCTTGATTGGAGATAAGAGTCTCATGGTTTTCCTGCCCAGGCTGGCTTTCAAACTGCCATCCTCAGATTTCAGCCTTTTGAGTAGCTAGAATTACAGGCATGAGCCACCGGCACCTGGCTTCTCATCTGGATTTTAGCATTCCAGTGCCGCCTCCCCTCCCCCCAGCCCTCAGTCCAGCAACCAGACGGCTTTTTTTTTTTTTTAACATGGATGCCATTTGGACAGGATTCTCCATGGCTGATGTCACCTCTACTACCCAAGCCCTGACTATATTCCTCAAACGCCCTGGCATATTTTACCAGAGGGCCGGGGCAACCAGATGTGCCCTGTCCAGGAAATGACACGCTTAGCCTTCTCTCATTTCCTTCAAACCTCACTTCAACGAGGACTCTTTTTCTTTTTTTTTTTTTTGGAACAGTCCTGAGGATGAAAGTCAGGCCTTGCCCACATTAGCAAAGTACTCTACTGCTGAGCTAGTCTCCAGTCCTTCATCTTATTTAATATTTCATAATTCCCCCAGAACTTCCAGTCTTCCTCACTCTCCTCAGTTCATTCTATTCCATGGCACTGCCATGTTTAACCTACTGGATAATTTACCTATTTGTTTTGCTTTTAATAGTCTCTAATCTGCCCATGGTTTCAGAATTCCCACATTGGGAAATAAAATTCTCCAGGGTTTGTCCGATTTGTTCAGTGATACATACCCACAAAAGCCAAGAACTGGTGGCTCACACCTGTAATCCCAGCTACTCGGCAGGCTGAAATCTGAGAATCACAATTTGAAGCCAACCTGGACAGAAAAGTCCATAGGACTTTGATTTCAAATTAACCAGTAAAAATACAGAAGTGGAAGTGTAGCTTAAGTAGTAGAGTGTTAGTCTTCAGCAGGAAAACCAAGCCAGGGAGAAAGGCTCATGAGTTCAAGCCCTAGTATTGGCATACACACACACACACACAAACACACACACGTGTTAAAAAGCCCAGCACGGTACTGACTGTTTGTAGTTCATGCTACTATGCTACTTGGGATGCAGAGGCAGAAGAATTCATTGAACCCAGGAGTTTGAGGCCAAGCTGGGTAGTATAACAAAACTCTCTCTCTCAAAAAACAAAACAAAACAAAAAAGACAAATCCTGGGCATCAGTGGCTCCTGCTTGTAATTCTGGCTACTCAAGAGGTTGAAATCTGAAGATGATGTTGGAAGTCAGGGCAGGCAGACAAATCTGAGAGACTTTCATCTCAAATTAGCAAAAAGACAGATGTGGAAGTGTGGCTCAAGTGGTAGAGTGCTAGCCATGAGTAGAAAAAGCCAAGAAACAGTCTGGGGCCCTGAGTTCAAACCCCCCCAAAACTAGGGAAAAGTTACTTTGAAGAATAAATATGGGGGCTGGGAATGTGGCTTAGTGGTAGAATGCTTGCCTAGGATGCATAAGCCCTGGGTTTAATTTCTCTGTACCACATAAACAAAAAGCCAGAAGTGACGCTGTGGCTCAAGTGGTAGAGTGCTAGCCTTGAGCCCAGATCAGATCAGGGACAGAGCCCAGGCCCTGAGTTCAAGTGTCAGGACTGGTCAAAAAAAAATTAAAAAGAATAAATACGAAGCCGAGTGCCAGTGGCTCAAGCCTGTGCTGAAATCTGAGGATCACAGTTTGAAGCCCAGCAGGAAAGTTGGTGAGACTCTTATTTCCAATTAACAACAAAAAGCCCAGGGACAGAGTGAAAAAAGCAGAGACAGAGCCCAGATCCTGAGTTCAAGCCACTGTATCAGCCCTGTGTGAAAAAGCAAAGGGACAGAGCCCAGATCCTGAGTTCAAGCCACTGTATAAGCCCTGTGTGTGTGTGAGAGAGACACACACATGGACACATGGACACATTGAGCCGCTTATGTTCCCTCTAAAGAATGAGACAACCATTTCAAGTCAGTAAGCTTGGAGACATTACTGCCACAAAACCACCAGAGGGAGCCAGTTTCCTAAACTTCAACTGTAATAGCTCAGCAGTGTGTATCCAATTTATGATCCAGTTAAAGGTAGATTTCCATCCATCTTAGATTCCTGTATTCATCTTTTCATTCATTCTATTTCATGCAAAGCCAATGCTGGCTTTCTTACTAGAAATAAAGAGCGAGAGGGAGAGAGATAGAGAAACAGAAACACACCCGTGCAAGCACACACACAGAGACAGAACAAGAACACAAAGGAAAGAAGGTTGAGGAAAAAAGGGAAAAATAACTTTAAAAGTACATGTAAGGTTTTTAATTAAAAATAGTATTTGTGAATGAAGTTTAGTGTGATCTTCGAACACACAATATATACAGTGTATAATGATCAGATCAGGGTAATTAGTATAGCTTTCAACTCAAATATTTTTCATTACTTTATGCTGGGAACATTCAAAATCACTCTTCGTTTGAGGAGTTCCAATCACCCCTTTCTCCTCTCTCCTACATACAAGGTCCTGGATCGGGAGGGCCAAATGGATAACCCATGTACTAGTTGGCTCGCAGATGCCTATTGGGATAATATCACAGAGCTGGACAAACTGACCAACTTCCATGGACTCATGAACTCCTTCGAGCAGTATCCTCGGGACTGGCTCCTGTGGTATACTAACTCTGCCCCTGAGAAAGCTATGCTGCCAGGTACACCCAGGCCAGGGGCTTCTCCCTCCCTCCTTCCCTTCATTCAGCCTGTGTTTGCCCTTCTCTTTACTCTTCATCTCTCTTTGGACCTCTATGCTGCTGGCTGCCTTCCCTGCAGTGCCTCTTTGTTTAGATTCCCAGTTCTTCCAAGACTCCCTTTGCCTGTCATCATTTCCCTCCTCCCCAGGTGAATGGGAAAATGCCTGCAATGAAATGCAGCGCATGCTGATCGTCCGCTCCCTGCGCCAGGACCGGGTGGCATTCTGTGTCACTTCTTTCATTGTCTCCAACCTTGGCTCCCGCTTCATTGAGCCTCCTGTGTTGAACATGAAATTGGTCAGTGGTTTTGCTCCTTGCCTATCCACCCCTGGTCTCCCGGCCTCCCACACCCTTTGTTCTTCCTCAGTCTCCTTCCCTCCTGCTTAGGCTCTGTGGCTTTCTGAGGCTGAGGCCATTCTTGTACTTGCAGGTGATGGAGGATTCCACCCCACGGTCTCCCCTTGTGTTCATCTTGTCTCCGGGTGTGGACCCCACCAGTGCCCTGCTCCAGCTGGCAGAGAACACAGGCATGGCCCAGCGCTTCCACGCCCTCTCCCTGGGCCAGGGCCAGGCTCCCATTGCTGCTCGGCTTCTCCGAGATGGTGTGCAACATGGTCAGTGTCCATCTGTTCTTACCTTTCCATCCTCAGCCCTGGTCCTCCTGCCCACAACCTCCAACCTCAATCACACTGCGGTGACTGCAGCTCCCAAGAATGGCAGACATGAGTGAGGGACACCATCCAAACAGCCACCAGGTGGAATATGTGGGCAGGGATGAGGTGTAGTGAGTGATTCTACATGACCACCCCATCTCCTCACAGGACATTGGGTGTTCCTGGCAAACTGCCACCTGTCACTGTCTTGGATGCCTAATCTGGACAAGCTGGTAGAACAGCTGCAAGTAGAGGACCCTCACCCTTCATTCCGTCTCTGGCTCAGCTCTAGCCCCCATCCGGATTTCCCTATCTCCATCCTGCAAGTGAGCATCAAGATGACCACAGAACCACCAAAGGTACAGATGGCTGAGAGATCTGGCATCAATGGGGCCATCTGGTCTACCTTTCCCCTGGCTGGCATTAGAGAGGTCCTAACCTGAACACCACCACTTGGTTCAATTTTGTTGTTCGCTTTTTTAAAAATTCCACATCCTTCTGATCATATAAAATAATATTTATCAAAGTGAACTCTAGGAAATGGAAACAAGAGTTTTTTTCCTTTGAAAGAAAAATTCCACATCCTTTTTCCTTTGTGTCAGACTCTTAGAAAGTTCGTTTTAGTGATTATTAATCTAACATTTCTTTAGTGATTATTATGTGCCAAACACTGTTCTAAGTTCTTTATGTTTATTAATTCATTTATATACACTCATAAGGTAAGAACTTACTCCATTTTTTTTTGTCAGTTGTGGGACTTGAACTCTGGGCCTGGGTGCTGTCCCTGAGCTCTTCAGCTCAAAGTGAGCACTCTACCGCTTGAGCTACAGCACCACTTCCAGTTTTCTAGTGGTTAATTGGAGATAAGTGTCTCATGGACTTTCCTGCCTGGACTGGCTTTGAACCACAATCCTCAGATCTCAGCCTCCTGAGTAGCTAGGATTACAGGCAAGAGCCACTGGCACTTAGCTTGCTTTTTATTCTTATTCTTTGTTGAAATCAAAATCCTTTTTGCACAGGTGAATAGGATAGGCATAGAGACCAGTATGCATGTAACAAGTGAGTCCTTTTTGAAAGCATGGCTTTCATCACCTTAAGTCTTCTTGACCACCCTGGGGTAGCAGACACAGCTGACTGTCCTTTTTCCTGGCTTCCTTGATATAGGCCCCTCCTCCCCCATTCTCCTTCTGTCTTTTTTATTTCCGGTCCTGGGTCTTGAACTCAGGACCTAGGCACTGTCCTTAAACTTCTTTTGCTTAAGGCCAGCACTCTACCACTTGAGCCACAGCACCATTTCTGGCTTTTGCTGTTTACGTGGCACTGAGAAATTGAATCCAGGACTTCATGAATACTAGGCAAGCACTCTACCACTAAGCCACATTCCCAACCCTCACTTGACTTGTTACTTAAGGCAGGCACTCTATCACTGGAGCCATACCTTCACGTCCATCTTTTTGCGGTTCACTAGATAAGAGTCTCTCAGATTTGTCTGCCTAGGCTGGCTTTGAACCTTGATCACAAGCCACACGACCAACAAAATAAATAAATAAATAATTTGGCACAGTGCTGCGCATCTCTCATCCTAGCTACACAATTTAGAGAATCATGGCTGTAAGGCAAATGAGGCAAAAAAAAGTTCTTGAGATTCTATCTCAATCGGAAAGGCTGGGCATGTTGCCTGTCATTGGCACCTATGAAGGAAGCATAAATAGAATTGTGGCCAAGCCAGCCTAGACAGAGTGAGACCCTATCTCAAAACTAAGCAGAGCCTGCAATCCTAGTTACTCAGGAGGCTGAAATCTGAGGATCATGGTTCGAAGCCAGCCCAGGCAGGAAAGTCCATGAGAGTCTTATCTCCAATAAACTACTCAGAAAAAGCCAGAAGTGGCACTGTGGCTCAAGTGGTAGAGCACTAGCCTTGGGCACAGAGAAGCTCAGGAACAGAGCAAATAAATACATTGCAGAGTAAGCTAGGCACTGGTGGCTCATGCCTTCCTAGCTACTCAGGAGGCTGGGATCTGAGAATCTCCATTTGAAGGCCAGGCAGAAAATTCTGAGAACTCTTTATCTCCAATTAACCAGAAAAAAAAGCTGGATTGGAGGTATGGCTCAAGTGCTAGACCAACCAGCTGTGAGCAAAAGAGCTGAGTGAATGAAAGGCCTTGGGTTCAAGTCCTGGTACCCAGGAAAAAAAAGCCAAGTAAAAAGGGATGAGAAGGGTGTGGCTCGGATGGTAGCTAGTATAAAAAACCCTGAGTTGAAAACGAAGAACAAAAAGAAGGAGGAGGAGGAGGAGAAGGTGGGGAGGGGGAGGGGGAAGGGGAGGGGGAAGGAGGAAGATGAAGACAATGATGATGACAAGGAGGAAGAGGAGCCTGCTCAGCCTTTAATCATACTTCTATATATCCATAGGCTTTTGGCCCCTTTATTCTGTTCATTTATCAAGATGTTCATAATCTTAATTACTTAATAGCTGGTAAGGCAAATCCTCTTATCTTATTCTTGAGCTATCCTTAGTCTTTTATTTTCCAATATAAATTCTACAATTAGTTTGTCAATTTCTATAAAACAAATTGTATTAATCAACTTGGAAGGAAAGTTGACAATAAATCTCTCAATCCATGAATATCGTATATTTTCCAACCTTTATTTCTTACTTCAGGAACATTTTGTCATTTTCTCCACGTGTATTTGCACATTTTAATTCATTTATTACTAGTTATCTTGCATACTTTGACAATATTACAAGTGGTATTTTGGGGGGAGGGGTCCGGTCGTGGGGCCTGAACTCTGGGCCTTGGCGCTGTCCCTCAGCTCTTCAGCTCAAGGCTAGCACTCTACCACTTGAGCCACAGCGCCTCTTCCGGCTTTTTTCTTTTTGCTTATGTGGTGCTGAGGAATCGAACCCAGGGCCTCATGCATGCAAGGCAAGCGCTCTACCACTGAGCCACCTTCCCAGCCCCAACAAGTGGTATTTTTAAAAATACATTTTTTGTAGCTATGTTCAGTATTCTTTTGTATATGTGTGTGTGTGTGTGTGCCAGTATTGGGACTTGAACTCAGGGCTTCACACACTCATTTGGCTTATTCTTTCAAGGCTAGTGCTCTATCTACCACTTTAGCCACACCTCTTACACTTATGGGGTTTTTTTTCTAATTAAAAATAAGAGTCACATGGACTTTTCTGCCTGGGCTATCTTGGACATCAATTCTCAGATTTCAGCTTCCTGAGTAGCTATGAGCCATCAGCATCCACCATACCCAGTATTCTTCAAGTTTCTTTTTTTCTTTGTATTTTTATGCTGATCATATGGCTTGAACTGAGGGCCTGCATGTTGTCCCTGGGCTTTTTTGCTTAAAGCTAGTGCTCTACCACCTGAACCACAGCTCCATTTCCAGCTCTTGGTTGATTAATTGAAGACAATACTCTCACGGACTTTCCTCCGTCAGTTTCAAACTGTGATCCTCAGATCTCAGTCTCCTGAGTAGCTAGGATTGATTATAGATATGAGCCTCTAGTCAGCCTTACTTCAGGCTTCTCATTGCTCCATCCTGCTTAGTCATAAAAAAAAAAAAAACCCTGCTTCAGGAGGAGCTGGGGATATAGCTCAATGGTAGATTATGTGCTTAGCATACAAGAGGCTCCAAGTGCAATCTGAAACACCAAAATCACCCCCCCACACACACAACAGAGCAATCCCTCCCCCATTGTTTTAACCTATCAACTGTCCTACACAAGACAGAGTGTGGCTCCATGACACCTGGCAAATCAATTTCCACTGACTCAGTCTACCATTCCTCTTAGTGCATGGTGCAGGGTACTTCTTCTTCCAGATCTCACTTATTTTCTCTTCTGTACTCTTATTCTATTCCTTCTCCAGGAAACCAAGATCCTCCTTTCTAGTCATATCCTCCAAATCCCAGAAAGCCTAATAAAGCCAATTACAAGAATGCTTTTCATTGATGGGGCTGGGAAGGTGGCTCCGTGATAGTGTTTGCCTTGCATACATGAGGCCCTGGGTTCGATTCCTCAGCACCACATAAGCAGAAAAAGCTTGGAAGTGGTGCTGTGGCTCAAGTGGTAGAGTGCTAGCCTTGAGCTGAAGAGCTGAGGGACAGGGCCCAGGCCCAGAGTTCAGGTGCCATAACTGACAAAAAAAAAGTTTTTTATTGATGGATATACTAATGGCTTTCTGAATCTACTTTTTGTGGTTTTTTATTTGTTTTTCTTTTCTGGCTGATCCTAAGGCTTGAACTCTGGATCTGGGCAGTCACTGAGCTCCTTTTGCTCAAGACTAGCATTCTACTACTTGAGCCACAGAGACACTCTGGCTTTTTTTCTGTGATTTTATTGGAGAAAAGAATCTCACAGACTTCACTGCCTGTGCTGGCTTCCAACTGAGATTCTCAGATCTCTGCCTCCTGAATAGCTAGGATTACAGGTATGAGCCATCGGCACCTGACTTTTTTTTTTTTTAATAAGGTTTGCTATGTAGTCCAAGGCTCAACTCATAGTCCTTTTGCTTCAGACTCCTCAATGCTGGGATTACAGACATGTACTAACATGCCTGGTAATCTGTACTTTTTTTTATTGTTAAGTAACGGTGATAAAGTACTTTTCTGGTATGTTCAAGGCCTTGGGTTTGATCCCCAGGACTGAAACAAAATAAAACAACAAGAAACCCAGTCCCATGTCTGTATTTTTGCCCTTGTTCACATTTCTGGCACTTTTAAATTGAGTTGTCATAACCATTGTTAATTCTATCATAGGTGAGAGATCAAAGGGCTGGGAGACAGGAAGGTAGGGCTGCCAATATCCTCTATGTAAATTAATTTGGGGGAAGGGGGTAGTCGTGAGGCTTGAACTCAGGGACTAAGCCCTGTCCTTGAGCTTTTCTGCTCAAGGCTAGTGCTTTACTACTTTGATCCACAGCACCACATCCAGCTCTTTCTGATTTACTGGGTCTAAGAGTCTCACGAACATTTCTGCCTGGGCTGGCTTTGAAGCATGATTCTTAGATCTCAGCCTCCTTAGTAGAATTACAGGCGTGAGCTGCCAGTGCCCGGCTTGTGAATTAGTTTTTTTAGGGCATGCAACCTTATAAATGAGTGCCCATGTTAGCTTGCAGCTGAAGGGGCTAGATTTCAGCCTTCATTCCCTCCTTCATCCAGTGCCTTTGCCAACAACCTCCACAACTGTACAGGGGTGCGAGTAGCAGGGCTGAACGTGATTTGTATCATCTCAGCTATTTCTTTCATTGTCCCCAGGGCCTAAAGGCCAACATGACACGTCTTTACCAACTGATGACAGAACCACAGTTCACCCGCTGCATCAGACCTGCCAAATATAAGAAGCTGCTGTTTGCACTCTGCTTTTTCCACTCTGTGTTACTCGAACGCAAAAAGTTTCTGCAGCTTGGCTGGAACATTGTCTACGACTTCAATGATTCTGACTTTGAGGTTTGTACTAATCTCTGATCCCTCATTCCAGCCTTCCCTCCATCCTTCTCTGCTGTTCCCTGGGAACAGCAACTTAGAGGAAGCCTGTGGTAAAATCGTCCTTGAGAAGTGCCTTCCCCATAACTGTATGGGGCTGGGGGGGCTTGGGTCTGGACCATGCACAGGTATCAGAAAGCCTGCTGAGACTCTACCTGGATGATTATGAGGATACGCCCTGGGACGCACTCAAGTACCTCATTGCTGGCGTCAACTATGGTGGCCATGTAACAGATGACTGGGACCGGCGTCTGCTCACCACCTACATCAATGACTATTTCTGTGACCAGGCTCTGTCAACAACTTTCTACCGGTAAGGGCTGTTGACACTGAGAAGGGCCACAAGAACCCAAACAGTCGAGGTGGCAGGATCAGGGTTTGGGAAGTGACTGAGGCTAGAATGGGAGTTTAAGAGAAGACAGATGGGGATGGAGGGAAGGACAATGGGACAGGCATAGGGACTGGGATCATGGAGGCCCAAGTGCTGTAATGTGGTGATACTTACTCACTCAGGTTGTCTGTTTTGGAGACTTATTTCATTCCCAAAGATGGAAGCCTGGCCTCTTACAAGGAATACATCAGTCTATTGCCTGGCATGGATCCCCCTGAAGCCTTTGGCCAGCACCCCAATGCTGACGTGGCCTCCCAGATTACTGAGGCAAGAACCCTCTTCGAGACTCTGCTTTCCCTGCAACCCCAGATCACACCCACCAGGGCTGGCAGCCAGAGCAGGGAAGAGAAGGTAGGAGCAGCTGGATTCCCTGAGGGAGGGAAAATGCTGAGGAAGGGCGACTGCACTCAGAGCTCTGGCCCCCTCAGGTCCTGGAGTTAGCTGCTGATGTAAAGCAGAAGATTCCGGAGATGATTGACTATGAAGGGACCCAAAAGGTGCTCGCTCTGGACCCATCGCCCCTCAATGTGGTCCTCCTGCAGGAGATCCAGAGATATAACAAGCTGATGGATACCATCCTGTAAGATGGTGTGGGCACTGCAGAAAGTGGCAGGGGACCGAGGAAGGACCTTTACCCTTGGCCAGTGCCATGTCTAACACTCCACACATCTCATTCTATTCAGGACCTCACTGACAGATCTGGAGAAAGGCATCCAGGGTCTCATTGTCATGTCGACAAGCCTTGAAGAGATTTTCAATTGCATCTTTGATGCTCATGTTCCTCCACTCTGGGGAAAGGCAAGATTATATTACTCTATTCTTCCAGGGTTGAATACAGAGCTTTCTTCTCTCACCTGTGGGGCATCTTCATCTTCTGGTTCTCAGGAGGCATATAGGAAAGTGCAGAGGGTCTGGGCTTGAAATCATGACCTAGGTGGTATTTGTGTTTGTTAGCTTTTTCACTCAAGGCTGGCAGTCTACCATTTGAGCCACAGCTCTACTTGCAGCTTTTTGGTGGTTCATTGGAGGTAAGATCCTCATGGGCTTGCTGGCCAGAATTTCCTGCCAGGGCTGGCATCAAACCTAAATCCTCAGATTACAGCCTCCTGAATAACTAGGATCACAGATGTGAGCCCCTCTCACCTGGCAAGATCTGCACGTTGAAGCCAGACAGGTTCAATTGAAATCTGGCTCTTCCATTTACCTGTCCACTCTGCACAAATTATTATCTTACAGTTGTATTCAGGGCAAGTTACAAACCTTTCCAAGGATGTTTCAAAAATGTCCAGTACTGTACATTGTAGGTGCTTCATTAATGATGCCTAATTCAAAAATGTTAAATGCACTTGTCTGATTTACTTATTTTCTGTACTGATTTTTTCAATTCAGAGCCTCATGTTTCCTAGATACTCTTCCACTTGAACCATGCCCCCTTTTGCTCTAAGTTTGTTTTTCAGACAAGAATCCCACTAACTTTGCTCAATCTGGCATCAAACCTTAATAGCTTAGATTATAGCAGTCAACAATCATGCCTGGCTTGAAACGTTTTTTGTGTGTTCCAATACTAGAACTTATACTTGGGACCTCAACCTCAACTTTCTTGCTCGTTGCTCTACCACTTGAGTCACACTTCCAGTCCAGCATTTTACTAGTTAATTGGAGATGGAGTCCCTAAGACTTTTTCTGCTCAGGATGGCTTGGAATATTAATTCTCCAGCTCTCAGCCTCCTGAGTAGTAGTACAGGATGAGCTATAGGCACAGAGCTGAAAGTTTATGTTACAGATTAGTTGCACAAGGAGGATTTCAGTGTGACATTTCCACTCATGAACACAATGTATACTGATTAATGACTTGAAACTTTTTGAGTGCAACATGATCCTCAAAAAGCTTCAGATTTTGGATTTTTGGGTTATGGATCTTCAACTAAGTGTATGTGAAAAGGGTAGGTGAATAGTACAAAATCTAAGAAATTCTGAATTTGGAATGTGAAAGTACAGGATACTTGCCCTGTACTGATATCATTAATAAATAGTTGCCATTTTATGCATCTTTCCTGGGAGTTGGCTTCTTGAGAGCTTTATCCAACCATAGTTGGAAAGGAGCTCACACTACTTTTTAAAAAAAGAATAATGATTATTACAAAGGTGATATACAGAGGGGTTACAGTTACATAATAACACCACATCTCACAGCTGTTTCAAGTGTTCAAGATAAGGTTCTAAGTGGAATGAATGGACACATGCCCTGCCTCCTCCCCCAGGCATATCCCTCACAAAAGCCATTGGCTTCATGGACTCGGGACTTGGCTCTGCGCGTGGAGCAGTTTGAACTATGGGCTAGTCGTGCACGGCCTCCTGTGCTTTTCTGGCTGTCTGGCTTTACCTTTCCCACTGGTTTCCTCACTGCTGTGCTGCAGTCGTCGGCTCGCCAAAATAATGTGAGTACCATTAAGGGAGGAGAAGGGAAGGCATACTATGAATGCACATTTCATCTCCTCTCTAGGCATCTCTTTTACTGTCACCTTTGACTCCTAGATTTCAGTGGACTGCCTCTCCTGGGAGTTTATCGTTTCCACTGTGGATGACAGCAACTTAGTGTATCCACCCAAGGTGGGGGCACACGAGCTTGGGCTTTGTTAAAAGATGGTCTGGCGGAGGAGAGTGTTGGGAGCAAAAGTGGGAAGTAATTGGGGGAGGAAAGAAGGGCTAGTCAGGGGGGCTGAGTACTTAAGGTCACCAAACTGCACTTATCTCTCCCCAGGATGGTGTGTGGGTTCGAGGCCTATATTTGGAGGGTGCTGGCTGGGACTGGAAGAACTCGTGCTTGGTGGAGGCAGAGCCCATGCAGCTGGTCTGCCTCATGCCCACAATCCACTTCCGACCTGCAGAGAGCCGCAAGAAGAGTGCCAAGGGTAGGACAGCTGCCCCAGCCCTGCCTGACCCATCTTATTTTGGATCCCAACTCATCTTTGGTTCTAATCCTCAGTTGCTCCCAAATGGTTCTCTCAGAGTCTCCAGGGATCTAATTTCTTTTCCTCTACTTTTCGCAGGCATGTACTCTTGTCCCTGCTATTACTATCCCAACCGGGCAGGCACCTCAGATCGAGCCTCCTTTGTCATCGGCATAGACCTTCGATCTGGGGCTATGACATCTGATCACTGGATCAAGAGGGGCACTGCTCTACTCATGAGCCTGGACAGCTGAGGAGGCTTCCTCTTCTCTCCTGTTTTTGAGAGTGTTGGGGATAATGAAATTCCTATTAAGGCTGGACCTTAATCGGGCTTTGACCTTGGCTGAATCTGAAAAACAAACTTAAGGCAAAAGGTATAAAGGTTGTACTGGAGCTCAGTGCAGTAAAGCATCTGCGACCCCAAACTCTTAAGTCTCTTCAATGGAATGGTAGGGATTACGTGGGAGAGGAAGCCTGCACCTTTCTGAGAATAGAACTACTTGTGAGCTACCATCGACAGATAAGCTAAAGAGAGAAAGAAGAAGGAAGGGGAGAGAGAGAAAGAGAGACAGAGACACTGACAGACAGAAAGACAGAGGAGAGAGGAGGAAGAAGAGAGGAGAGAAAGTTCAGCGGCCTCAAGAGAAAAGGAGGCGTGGCCTTGAACTAAAGGGCTAGGTCTGTGGGACCTAAAGGTGTGGCTAAATCTCAGGGCAGGGCCTAGGGGGCGGGGCTTACCTTGGAAGAGCGCGGGATCCAAATAGAATAGGAGTTTGTCAGGCGAAGATCGGGGACGGACCCCACACATGGCACCCCGAGCCTCGCACCCTGTGTCCCACCCGGCACCGAGCCGGGCGCGCGACGCCTGACGCGGGCGGGGCGGAGCCTGGGAGAGGGACTCCAGCTCAAGGAGGGGCGGAACCTCGGGGAGGGGGCGGGGCTGGGGAGCAGCAGGGGTGCCAGTGTTTGTGTTGGAAAATCCAACTGCGCCACGGGGCGGAGCGGCCCCCCCAGCCCTAGCCTGGGAGAGGGGGGGCCCGCTCGACCCCCAGGAGACCCTGGGGAGCCTGAATACCTGGGACCCCCCAGAACCAGGTAACGGGCCGCCGCAAGGGCGTTTGAGAAGAGGGAAACCAGCCCTGCGCAGGGGGAAGGGACGTCAGAGTGGCCGGAGGGACTCGGGATGGGCTGGGGATAGCCGCTGGGGTCTTGGGAAAGGCACTAGGAAGACTAGGGCGTGGAGCATCCGTATCCCCCCCAAAGAGAGCAGAGGAGTGGAAGAAGATCTGACTTGCAGCTAGAGGTTCCAGAGGTTTCCAGAGGTCTAGAGGGGCCTGAAAGGACTCCCAGTCTACCCTTGTGCTGACATTTCCCTCCCGACAGTAGGGCGGGGCGCAGCGATTCTAATTGAAGGGCAGAACTAAATAAAAGGGCAGTTTGCAGACAGGTCAATGCCGTGGTCTACCAGGGTCAGACGTAGCCGGACCGGGGTGTGCCTCCACTCCTCCAGCCACTTAGTCTCACGCCAGTTCTTCGTTAACAGTGAAGGGTGTAGCCTCAGTCTTCCCCTAAGGAGCCCCGAGAGCCCCAGCAGTAGCTGTCCCCCTCATCCCACTCTATTCCACCTGTCACGCGACCTCGCTCTGCTCTTGTTCCCCCCCCCCCGTCCTGCTCCCACTCTTCCCGTCACCGGTCTCCTAGCCTTCGCTCGGGTTGGGGCCCTCACTGGTGCTGAACCTTTCCAGCGTAGCCACGAGATGGCGAGGCTGAGACGCGAGCATGCCCGGAGTCGAGGGGCGCGCGGGTGGGGAACGTGGCGGTGACCACAGTTAAGGCCCCCCGCCCCGGTCTGAAGGGAAAGGTGGCCTGATGCCCCCATTTGGCTTCCTGTCATCTTGACACACTCACAGGAACCTGTGAGTTGGAGGGCGAAAGGCAAAGCGTGGGGAGGTGACTAGGGTCTCAGGCTGTTTCTCCCTCCTGGGGGAGTCGGAGGGGAGGGCATAGGCGGGTGGGTTACTAAGCAACGCAGATCGGCTTCCTGTCAGCTGTGGCTTGTGGCTGAGTCTGAGGTGGGGGTGGGTGGGTGGAGGGAATGAGAAGCTGGAGACTGCGGGGAAAGTTGAGAACAGAACGCCTCGTTCCGGGACACAAGAACCTTTAGAGGAAGGCAGGGAGGTAGCGCGAGCTGATGATGCACCACAGAACTGGACGCAGGTTGTCTGGAGGGAGGCGGAACCCCGGGCGCCTCTCCACTCCGCCCGTCGCACCTCCCGCGGGTTGCTTGCTCAGTTGCCAGAGTAACAGCCGAGCGAGAGTCGGGAGCTAGATTCCCGAACTCCACTGGCCCAATCTGCTGCAACGGACGTTACCGACGTCAGAGCCATGGCAACCAATAGGAAGAGGGGATTTTAGGGTGACGGGAAGAGGGGGGCGGGAGGCGGAGGAAGGGAGGCGGTGGCTGCCCGGGACCCGCACGTGCACTCCCACACGCTCGCTTGCGCCCCCTCCCACCTCCGCACGCGCCCCTTGCGCCTGCGCGTTCGCGTCGGCGGGCGCGTTCCGTCCCCCGACGCTGGAATCTGAGAACTAGCGTAGTTCACGGCCGCGTTCCTCATCCCCCGAGGGCCCAAACGTAAGGATCTGTCTCCACTCTTTATTGCCAGCAGTCGATTAAGGCCGAGCCTCAAGTGGGAGGGCCGGCTACCTGTTCCCGCCGCCCTCTCAAAGCTCCCAGGTGAGCTGGGCGGAGCCGTGCCTTCCGGTCTCGTGAGCTCCGCGGCTGCCCTCCCGGCTCCCGGCTTAGGTCTCTTCCCCTAGACAAAGAGACGGGTACAGCCTCCGCCCGCCAGGGCCCAGCCCCGCAGTCGATGGCGGGGAAAGGAGTGCTGGGCAGCCCTGGGTGACCCAGGTGACTGCCCCGGTGTAATCACACCCCTTCGCCCCAAGCCCTGCTCTACGACGAGTCCTCAGACCCCCCCAGCCCTCAAGTCTCCTCCTCAAGCGCTCTGACGTTCCTCGCACCTCCCCGGCTTCTTTCGGGCTATCTGTCCCCGTCTCCACTCGTCCTTTTCTTTCTCCGAGTTATATAACTCTTCCTTCACGGCGTGTCCTGATTTCAACTCCACAGACTCCGCCCTGGAACGGCGCGGGAGGGGCGGGAGAGTTGGGGACCCAGACAGATTCCGGCTGGCGGCCAGCTGGGGCACGGGGGACCCGCCGATAGACGGATCCCCGCGGGACCTTGTACCCCGTCCCCCCCCACACACACTCCCCATCAGAGATCTCGCCCAGGAAAGAAGGCAAAGTATCTCTGAAGGGCGTGTCGGGAGTCCCGACAGAAAAGTGGGTTGGGAGGTCAGGGCTAGAGGCAGGAAGTGACAGACGAGAAGCTTGACTCCCTCGGATTGGAGTCCTGTTGGGGCTAAGAGGGGGGGGGGGAAAAAGCAGGACGCCTGGGTTTAAAAGTCTTCTTTTTGAGTTCCCAGAATTCCTAAGGCTACTCCTCAGGAAGCTTAGCCAGCGGCCCCTTTGGCCCCTGCCGAGTCAAAGGTTTGTGTTAAAGGTGGCCTGGGATGATGTCACCCGTGCACGTGCCCCGGGATGGTTGCCAGGCAATGAGGCCTACCCCCCCCCTTACACTCCCTCCCACCCCTGCCCCGAGTCCAGTTCCAGTCCCGTGCCGTCTCTTTCCTATCTCCCTTCCCTTGGTCTTCGCATCCTGCAGGTGGGAAACCCCGGACTGGAGTTTGTGAGGGGGAGGGGCACGGGTGTAGTGTGGCTGAAAGACTTTGCCCCTTTGCTGGGCTGGGAGAACCCGGGGTCACTTTTCCCTAGATTGGCACCGAAGAGCTTCCCCTCCACCCCCCCCTCCTCCTTGGACGAACCTTCTACAAATCTTTTTACTTTCTCACCTGCTGCCTAGCCTAGTGTCATATTGCCCCTTCTCCATCTTGAGTTGAAGTGGGAGTGGTTGCAAGCAGACAGCTGCCCCTAAGAGTTGTGTGTGTGTGTGGATGGATACACAGCAGCTCCTGTCCTTTTAGCCCCTGTGACTTACTCCCCTCCCCAAACTGAAGACAAGGGTCAAGAAACTGTATTAAGCTGAAAAGTCAAGGTTTTAATTCTGTGTAGGTAGGTGGATCAATTTCTGGCTTTGCTCACTTGGGGGAGAAAGATTCAGGGATAGCTATGGCTGTCCTCAGTGAGTTAAGTCTTGGAGTTGGAGCTTGCGTTGCGATGCATTTTTATGTGCCTCCGAGTTTAGGCTGTCAGGCCAGACCTGGATTCTAATCCCAGCTTGTCAGGGATTTTGAAAGGTCAAAGCCTCTTAGAGCTTCATACTCTTATTCTGAGAAATTTTAATATTCATACCTACCTTTAAGGTAGATGGGATTGGAAAAGTAAGATAATTTATGTAAAGCCCTTAGTACAGAATGAACATTTGAATGAATGCATGCTATTAAATACTCCTTGCTAAATGATATTATGATTTTTTTTTACTGTAGTCAATAGGCCTGTTCCAAATGAGCCATGACCTTAGGACTCCTCCTTAGGGAGGAGTGGAGAGTTTGTGTTAATTTGGGGGCACGGGAGGGGGGGAGGATTAGCTTGGATTGCTTTGTGTACTTTATTTGATGAGGACTTTAGTCAGATTTGTATTGCTTTCTTATTATTTTTCCCCCTTCTCGGAGATGAAATAGCTACAGACTATCCCTTTGGCTGTGAAAATAATCGTGTTGAGATTCGTGATTTTGAATCAAGACCCCAGTCCCCTCCCATGTTGTTCTCCCGAGCCTTTCATTTTGCGACCGGACTGAATAGTTTCCCAGGCGGGGAGCCGGCAAGGATAAGGGGTGTGTAAAAGATTGGGGTGGGTGGGTGGAGAGAGAAGGGGGCTGGAGGAGAGGGTAGTTAAAGGAAGAGACCGGAAGGGAGGAGGAGGGAGCCTGCTGGTGGGGAGGGAGAGAGGGGAGGAGGAGGAGGAGGTGGTGGAGGAGGAGGAGGAGGAGGAGGAGGGAGGGGGTTGGGGAGAGCCTGCTACAGTTCTTTGTTTGACTCCGGGACTCAGGGACGGGGAGGAGGAGGGAGGGAGGCAGAGGCTGCTAGCGCCGGGGCAGGCCCAGGAGGCAGAGGAGGGACTGTCTCCCCCGCCCCCCCAGCCCCCACTCCCCCCCCTGCTGCTTTCCCCCCTCCCTACCCGGACTCTGGGGGCACCGCCGGGGGACAGACACCCAGCAGGTAACCCCAGCCTGGCTTGCCTCCCCCCCCGAATTTCCTCCATACCCTCCCGGATGACCCCTTTCCGCTTTTCCGTCTCCCCCTATTTCCCGGTCTTGCCTTTTTCCCTAGTCCT